CTCCCTCCCTCCCTCCCTCCCTCCTCCTTCCTTCCCTCCCTCTCTCCCTCCCTCCTCCTTCCCTCCCTCCTCCTCTCTCTTCCTCCCTCTCTCTCTTTCTCTCTGAGATGATTTCAGGGTGAGACATGGGGAATGAGGGCCACTGGTCTTTCTGCACCCTCCTCCTCCACTTCCCTCCCGGCTGCCAGATGGACGCTCTGCTCAGGTCCCCTTCCTCTGGCCCAGAGTGCAGCTGTCCCCCACGGGGCAGTTGCTGCTCTCTTTGGGGAGGAAGCCGATGGAAACCAGGGACTTGCTGGGTCTCTGCCGACCTCCTCCCCTCCTCCGTTCCCTGTCATGACACTGAAGGCTCCTTCCTAGTTTGGTAAATAATCTCCCGTGTGATCTGCGTTCAGTCCGCCCTCTCTTCCTGCCAGTACAAATAATTTGGCAACATAAACACTGTCATCGGGGTGATCGTCTGTAAGCTTCTCTCCATCAAGTGAGCTTTCTTTCTTTATTTACTTACTTTTCAGAAAGGGGGAGAAGAGGGAAAAGAATTCTGGAGGATATCGGGGTGGGTTCTGAGACTTTCTTCTGACTGCAGAATTCAGGAGATTTGATAGGAACTTCTGACAGCTGGCAGGACTAAGGCTGCTCCTAAGTGAGGGCTAATAGATGCCTTCTCAGATCAAGAGCAGATCTGAGGGTGGGTGTGGGAGGAAGGGCTCGCCCCCTCCCAAGATGCTGATGCTGGCCACGTGTGAGGCCCAGCTCAGCTAAGCTGGCTCAAGTGGCGAGTGACGCGTTGAAATGAATCCAACGCCTCACCATCTGGCCCTGATTGTAAACATGTGTATACAAAGTGAGTGTCACTTCAGGCAATTCGCAGGGGCCCGCCTGCTTCTGTGGTTTGCTGCAGCTGTCCTGGGGTGGGGACAGAGTGGTGCCCGCCCCAGGACAGGGCAGGTGGTGCAGGTGGGTGGCTGTCTTCCCCGGGGTAGGGACCAGTCGGAGGGAGGAGGCTGAGAGATTCGGGGCACCAGCCAGACATCACGTGCCCACCTTTCCTGAGAGCAGCTGGTGGCCCTGGGTCCAGCTGTCTGGCCGGCACTGCTTTGATAATTAATCATTTTCTGTCCGGACTATAAATACCCCAGAGGTAAGTCTGTTCTGCCCCTGTCAGGCAACTTGTAGAAGTTATCACTGAATTAGAATGAATCGGCCACCTCCTTCTCTCGTGCATCCCCGGCCTTCCCCATCTCTTTTGTGTGGATTCTCTCCGCTTCTCCCAGTGCTGGTCAGAGAGCAGAGCAGAAACCCCCCATCCTTCTGGGGCAAAGGGAAAATGAATGAGTCCTCTCTGTCTCTTCCGCTCAGAGCCTAGAGCTCTCAGATGATCTCCTGGGTCTCAGTTTTATCATCTTTTAAATGGGATCATCGACTCTTCCTCTTCACAGGCTTCTTCACGGCCTCCTGGCCGAGTACCCACGTGACAAGAGGAAGAGTGCAGAGGGTGCCCGCAGTCCTGGCCTTGGGACAGACAGAGCTGCAGAGGGCTGGTCCAGTCGAGCATAGGACCACGGTGACAGACTCACTTCTGTGGATCAGCCTCCTTCTTCCTGCACCCTCGCGGCCCATTTTGAGTAAGTGTCACCTGGTACGTGTAGCTATTGCTTTGTTCCAGGAAATAAAGAATTGCTCTAAGGGGCAGGACCAAGAGGCCCATGGGCAGTCTGGGTGCTGGTCCCCCGGGCTCCTCCCTCTTCCCAGGGGTTCAGTTCTGCTGTCCTGGCCCTGACCCCACCCAACCTGCACACAGGAGCCAGTGACATGTCCCCTCAACCGCCCCTCTGCTGTTCCTCAAAAGCGCACAGATTTAATTTTCGACACATGGGAAGAAAATGTACTTCCTCAAACAGCCCCAGGGACGGGCCAAGAGGGAGCAAGCTAATTATCTCCCGTGTTTTCCTTCAGCGGGGAGTGGGCAGAAGGGACGGGAGAGAAGAAATTGGCAGGGCTGAGAGCAGGCTCCACACCGCATCGTGGGGTTGCAGCGCCGGTACCCTGAGAATTGGGGTGGGGCGGAAGTCCGGGGCCACAAGAACCTGTGCTCTCTGTCCCCAGAGCCCAGCATCTGGAGGGAGTTGCTGCTGCTCGGCCTCCTCCTTCCTGCAGTGCCAGGCAATGCCACAGGTGGGGTCTTCAGGGCCAAGTCCACGGCAACAAGGCCCTGGTGAGCAGGTGCCACAGAGAGGCCACTGCTTGGGAGATAGGACCCCATTCCTTCCAGGACCCAAACAGCAGGCCAGGAGAGAGGCCCCAGGAAAAGGGGCTCAGCCTCACGGAGCCAAGATTCCCAGGAAAAGCGACGGAGACCGGGACGTGGAGACATGACAACTCAAACTTAGAGAATCGGAAGAAGACAATTCCACAGCCCGACACCTCCCTGTGATAGATGCCTAATTAAGACTGGACAGAAACAGGCAAGAGAGCCACTTAATCCAGACTCTATTTGCCTTGCTAATTTAGGGGTGTGTGTGTGTGTGTGTGTGTGTGTGTGTGCGTGTGTGTTTTCCTGTTGGGTGAAGGTTTGTAAAATCTTAATGAGGTTGTGCATATTGGAACAGAGATGGAAAGGCGTCCTCCCCTCCCCCTCGGTAATGGTCTCACGTCCCTGGGGCCATTAAAGCTCCATGCACAAGACTCTCCCTGGAGGGAAAGTGGCAAAGGGCCTCCTCTGTCTGTGGGTTCAGGGGAGGAGACCAAGTGTCTCATTCAATCACAGATAGATGGCTGGTGGCTTAGGCAGTTGATGACGTCTTTGTCTTCTTTTTTTTTCCTTAAATGAAAACCTCAAATTGGACTCAAAGCAGCTATTTGTAATGTCAGGAGCAGCTGGCATTTAGATATCAAGCTCATTGAATTAATTTTTAATGACCTTTAATGTGACAGGTCAGCAGGGGCAGAAGGAACACTCTGCTGTGTACACAGTAGGCAGTTGTTGGAACCAAAGGGAACAGGGGAGCATGCCACCAGGGAGACCCCCACCATGAGCCCTTCCTTCTTCCCGACTCTGCCACCTGGCCTGGGTCCTGGGACTAGGGGACACTGCCTGCTCTCTCCGGCCTATGTGAGGGGAACAGCTCTGCGAGGGAGGGACGGGGAGCGAGAAAGAGCCCTGCTGGCTTCGGTGCTACCTTGGGGTAATTCAGATGGTCACTCCCCAAAGTGGCCTCTTCAAAGCGCACTGACCCCGTGGGCAGTTTCAAGGGGCCCCGTTCAGCGCTGGCTCCCCTTCAGGGCAGTTGAGGTGTGTGCACCACCAGGAGGCAGCTATCGGATGAGGAGACCTCAGGGCTACGTCCGTCCACTTGGTCTCATGCAAGGGTAAGGGGCTATGTCACTGTGGGCTCCGGGAACCTGCAGCCTTTGCTAAGAGCCTGAAACCGTCAGGTGTCAGGTCCTGGGGCCAGGGGGTGATGAGGCGCCAGCCCGTCCCTGTCAGAGAGCAGGAAAAGGTGTCCCCTGGGTGAGGCGGCAATTTCACCCTTTCCCATGCACACACTGTTCAGATGCACGTCTAACTGGGGCCCGAGGTTCTGCATGGCTACCCAGGTCCCAGGTGACCCTGAGGTTCCTGGTCCGGGAAACCATGCTCTGAGTAGCCAGGGTCGACAGTCCAGAAAGATGACCCTGGGAGGGCCTCTCTCAGCAGCATCACCCGGAGGCCTCATTAAGACATGAATCGCTTCCTCCCATCCCTAGACTTCCCAACTGAGCAGGTGTGAGGTGGAGAAGGAGCATTTGCCTTTGTGACAGGATTGAGGTGAAAATGACGTCCAGAGACCACGCTTTTGGGAATGGCTGGGACTCTGGGCCTGAGACCTGCACCAGAGGTGCTTAGAGTTGGACAAGGAAAAGAGGCAGGAATCGGGAGCAAGAGTGGGTCACCATGTGGCCTTCCCTGTATACTGTGAATGGAGCTTTAATGTCCCTGGGACGTGGAACACTGGGTGGGTGAGTGGGGGGGCTCTTTCCATGCAAAAATGTTTAGCTCAAAACACCTTCTCCCTCCCAACCCTTTCTCTCCTCGGGAGGACCACAGGGGAAGGGGAGGGCCGTCCAGCTTTTGCCTGGACAGGGAGCTGCTCAGCCCTCTTTGCCCATTCTCACAAAACCTGGGGAGATTTTAAATGCTCAGGGGGCTTCTGCCTGTTCCTCCAGATGCCGACTTAATTGGTCTTAGGTGATGCCTAGGACCAATTTTTGTTTTTGTTTTTAAATAAACTCCTCCAGAGCCACGGTTGAGAACCACTGGCCTAGACCCAAGTCTACTGTCAGCTGCGGCTTGTTGGGGAGTTGGGCAAAGGATGTCCCCTCCCTTATTCTCTGAACCTCCTTGCTACACCCCCCCCAACACACGTAGCTGAAGTTCTGCGGAACACCTGGTCTGTTCTACTGAGAACGGGGCGACCTACTTTCTCTGCCTGTGGCTTCTCTTGCACATGGGGACTCTGGGGACGGAGGGGCAGATGGAAATGTCAGCATGTCTGTGTTGATGCTGCATTTGGGTGTCACCCAAGCGCTTGTTTCTCTGTCAGATTCCGGATGTGGCATTTAGATAGTGAACCGCTGCCGCCAGACTCTTGCTGGGGAGATCAAAGCATCCGGCAGCATCCAGAGACACCCTGGGGTCTGGCTGCCAAGAGCTGGCGGCTCTGGGCCACCGGCAGGACGGGGCTGGCACAGGGACTGTTTCGGCTGGAGGCGGACCACAGGCAGACAGAGCACCTGGGGATTCTTCCCTCCCGTCGGGGCCCCTTCACCTGTAAGGCTGCTCTCCCAGCCGGGTGCCTACCTGTGCACGTCCAAGCACATGGGACCTCGCCACACAGCCCTGACCCTGGTGGCTGCCTGTGGCTGTCACCACTCTCTGTCCCTCACTGTGAGGAGGGATAGACCACAGAGGGCCAGCCAGACGGCCGGAGGGGGCTCCATCTAAAATGGTCCCATCGTGGGGAGCAGACACCAGGAAGTGGGTCCAGGACTGGGGACAGAGACCCCTCGTCCTCCTGCCTTCTGGCTTTACTGGATCCATTCCACTGTGGTCCCCGTGGGGTGGGGTGGGATATCTCCTAGCCTTGTGCTATAGAAGGCCTTGGATGTCCCACTGTGTCCCTGGGTGCCTCTGGGGCGTCTCGGGGGCTGGCAGACCAAGGACAGGCACAGGAGAAACCGGCAAAGTGCACTGGCCTTGAGCACAGATGGAGCACAGCGGTCCTTCCGGGAAGTGTCCCTGCTCACTGTGAGTCCTCAGCAGCTGCCCAATGTCACCGGTGTTTATTAACCTTTCCTGCACACAGCAAAGAACATTGTGTCTCTCCATGCGGGCTCTCAAGAATTCCAATTATTCCGTGTTCTGCCCCCCACCCCCACTTTTTAGTAGGAGTCACTATTAACATCTCCCTGGTTGGATTTCGGAAAGAACAGCCTGTCTCGTCTTGACAGGAGACTGGAGAGAACTGTGAGCACTGGGGTCCACTTGGTGCAGGATCTGGCTCTGGCCGCTCCTCCTGGCCGTCTATTCTTCCTGTTGACAAGGAGAGAGCAGGGTCTCACCCCTGCCCCTGTCCAATGCCCCCACTAGTTCCCAAATGTGAGAGGCTCCGGCCCTTCCATTAGGACCCCTGCTCCCTGTTACTTTGGTGATGCCAGACTTGGGGTCTTTTTCCAGCCTCTGTCCCCCTCTCTTCCTGCTCAGAGGGCAGGGGAGAAGGGTCTTAACAGGAAAGTGACTACTCTGTGTACCCTCGGTATGCCCCGGTCGGCAAGGGGGACCCGGAGAGCGCCCCTCCCAGCAATTGGGAAGGCTCCAGTTTGTCCCCAGGGGTGTTCCTGTGAACCTGACGTCCCACAGGAAGTCATCCTGCAGGCAGGCTGGGCTGGGCATGGCTGGGTCCCTCCAGCCCCTGAAGGGCATGAAGCCTCAGACACGGAGCAGGGATCAGGTGGGAGCTGAAAAGTGAGCTTCTCCAAGCATGGAACTAGGAAGAGGCTTCGGGGCCCCCACCCCTGGAAGCTCCTCAACAAAGCTTCCACCTCTTGCCCCTCAGCGTAGAGCCAGGGAAGAGGGGATGGCCATGGCGGTGTGACCTGTGGCCCCTCCCAGCTCCCCAGCCGGCCCTGGCACCGCCAGCCTAACTCCGCCTCCCCCACCTGCTCTCTGGCTCCCTGCTTGCTCCCTGGGCTCAGGCTTCCAAGGGTGGCTCGAAGGCCACACCCCCTGTGTGGCCTGGATACCTTCCACCTGCCTCCCCGGCCCCGCCCACCAGCCCAAGGAGGAAGTAATCTTCCTCCTGAGAGTTCTTGGAACACTTTCTCTGCACTTTGTGGCGGCAGGCATCAATTTCTGCTCCTTACCCCAGTTTCCCACCTGCATCTCTTATATCACCTCCGAGTTGGCAAGCTCCTTAATGACAGGAGTCATAGCTCATCCTCCTTTATGGCCACACTGCACCCAGCGCTGCCAATGTAGATTGAATGATAAGAAGCTCAACCTAGCAACATTCTGGGGATACGTGTCATCATGAGAAGGTCGTTCATTTCTGCTTTGTTCCTGAAGTGGGGGGGCATCTCCTAGTCCAGGGAAGACAGAGGGAAGACTCATCCCTCTGAGGTGTCAACTGGTGGACAGCCATTTCTGGGGTTGTTTGGAGCTCCACCCATGGGCAGGCCCAGCTGGACATCACTTTCCACCTCCCAGTCTCCTCCTGATGCCCCACTTAGTCCAGCCTTATTGGTGTTGGGAGTCCCACCTTGACACCTTCTTGATTCTCACGGAACCTCCCCGATGCCACCTCTTGACCGTCCCAGATCTGCTCTTCTTTCTTTGTAAATCTTTAATCAGATGCATTTCTTTTTTGCTTCTTGTCACTCGGTTTCCGGCCACTCTGTCCACACCCTGCACGCTGTTTCCACTTGAGCGTCCACAATATTTGTAACCTTCAGTGCTTAAGGCCACGTGCCTCTGCCAAGCAACCTTTCAGGATTTCTTTGGTAAAACTCACTCCTTCTTCCTCAGTGGAATCCCACAGCCATTGGTTCATCTGCCTGGTAGTATAGTTTTTGTATTAGTTAGGATAAAAGACTAAGCTGCTGTGATATCATTGTTTAAGCAACAATATGGTGGTTTAAATAACAAAGTGTATTTTTTTCTCTCTCTCTCGTTTTTCTTTCTTTCTTTCTCTCTTTCTTTCTTTACTGTTGAACTCAAATCTACATCCCAACTCTTTTAATTTTGAGACAGGATCTCTCTAGGTTGCTTAGGCCTCACTAAGTTGCTGAAGCTGACCTCAAACTTTCTGTCCTCCTGCCTCAGCCTCCTAAATTACTGGGATTATGGACATATGCCACGGTGCCTGGCCTGCATTTCTCTTTTACCAAGATTTGTGTTGGACTGGTGGGGCCACTTGTCATTTGTGGT